AGGGATCCCTGGAGTGAATGAAGTATCATGACATCTCAAACACAACTAAGAAAGCCTTGAGCAGGCAAAGCAGAGCCCAGAAGGGGCTAGCACAGTTTCTAAAATGTCTCCCCCCACCCCTTCTAGGGTTGGTGATTAAGCCCAGGGCCTTTGCACTGATCTACATTTCCAGCCTTTTTAAATATATTTTTCTTTGAGATAGAGTCTTGCTAAATTGCGCAGGCTGGGCTTGAACTTGCCATCCTCCTGCCTCAGCCTCCCAGAGTACTGCGATTACAGGCCCGCTCCACCCCCTGCTTGAAACACTCTTTGAATGTGACCCCACTGGGATCAATGGAGGGAAAATGGAAGAGTGGCGGGTGGGGCTGGAGGCTGCTCCCTTGGCTAATTTTACCTATGCCCGGCCTTCCTCCGGAACTCAAGGCTCCAGGAGCAGGGGCCTCGCATCACCTGGTCCCTGAACGCCCAGCCAGCCTGGAGCCTGGGGATGACCAGAGCGGAACGGAGGACAGCTTCTTTCTCTCCAAATCCCGCCAGGCCTGTGAAGTGCTCGCTGCCCCTTAAGCACCGCTGCTCAGCCTAGACTTTTCTTTTTGAGCCTGGGAATTGGTATTTTAAATTTTAAAATTTAATTTGCATTAGTGAATATCTGCAGTACACCAGCGGGTGCAGCTGCCACATGGACACAACACGTCTTAATTCTTTTTCCTTTTTCCTCCCTCTCATTCCACTCTTTCTCCTGTTCCACTTTTGCCAAAGATCTCCCTGCTTTCTGTTATTTCTTTTATTTTGTCCTTTATGTATTCTTTGGGTTTCCCATGTAAGAGAACCCATACGGTATTTCAGCTTGAGCTTCTGATTTATTTCAGCCCAGACTTTTCCAGCCCGGGGCCATTCCTGGGTCCCGGAGCACCGGGGCGCCAGGGTGGTTTTTAGGGTTTTCTGTCTCTCTGATTTCCCTGCTGTTCCACGCTTGATTTTTTTTTGCAGAAAAACGACTGTAGAAAAAGAACCGATTTCGTTTCCAGTTCCCATCACCACGATTTCCACATGGATGTGACGCGCAGGGCAGCTTCCGAAACGCCCGGTGACTCAGGCGGGGACACCCCGGGGCGGGGCGCAGGAGTTTCTCGGGGTGGCCCGCG